CAGATCTATATATACGGCTCTGACCCCATCCACCCGCCCAGCTGCTGCTGGCCCGTAGCTTGACCCGGCAATGCTTGGCGTACCGGCAAAGAAGACCAGCAATCCTGTGACGAGGGTATGCGCCGCTCCCCGACGCCAGCAGGCCACCAGGCCCGTGATGAAGCAGATGAGAAACAAGAAGAAACCTCCAGCAAACAAGCCGACAGACAAGCGCATCAAATCTGCAATCGAAGATGGTGATGTTTATGTTATCTGAACGATAGACTGCGTCTGATCTAGAACCGCGATTACAGATCTGGGGTCCGTTGTCAGTAACAAAATTTGTCTTAACATTAGCCTTAACATGAGTCTTAACCTTGGTCTTAACATTAGTCTTAACCTTGGTCTTAACATTAGTCTTAACCTTGGTCTTAACATTAGTCTTAACATTAACATTACGATTTTTCTGGCAACGGGCCCCTGTTTGTTAATTTGAAAGGAATCAACGAACAGTTTGAGAGTGAACGACGCAGAAAGACAAGGAGAGAGAGGCGGCTACAACGACAGAGAGTAGAAGGTGAGGGAACGCGATAGAATGAGAGAAATTGCCAGAGCGAGAGCTAGAGAATATCAAAGATAGCGAGAGAAGAGAGCGAGATAGGGAAGCCGCAGCGAGAGGGGGCGGGGACTCCAATGGAACAACTATATGAAAGGGAAAATGTGAGAGAGAGAGGGCGCGCGCAAAGAAAGAAAAAACCGAACGAATGAACGAACGAACGAACGAACAAGAAATGTGAGGAAGGGGATGATAAAAGGCGGGAACATTTCGTAGTAACTGAATTAGCGTTATAAATAAATAACGTACGTATTCTAGTTGTCTCATCGTTGGTCATCTTGGGGTCCAGCGCAAAGCTTAACCGACGACATGGTTTGTCTACTGGCGTTAGAGTGATATTACCTGCGAAATAAATGAAGCGGAATTATGCCCCCAGTGTGTCGAGTGTACGATGCCCACCCGCGTGGATTAACATGCATAAACATATAAATTCGGAAGCATGCATAATTATAATTAAACAGAAGCGTCTACTTCAGTTGTTAATTTTGTAAAAACGAATAATCCGACATTGCGTTATACACTAACTATGTACGCTGTGTATGGCGGAATATCGGATTATTCTTTTTCAAATATATAAATATATAATATATATATAAATATATAATATATATATATATATAAATAAATATATATATACGTGGTTATTACAATTGGTCGTGGTGTATACGTGGTTATACATTACGTCAACATATTAACATATTGTTCTTGTATTCTCCGAAAATAGATCTCTGTAAAATTAGAACGGGTGTAACGAGAAAGGTAAGCAAACCAGGTATACTAATAAGCATAGTTAGCAGTTGGGTGTATATCGGTATAGTGAGTAGTCAGCTTATAAGTGATGGTAATGTAGGCAGTGATCAAGCGCGATGACACACCAGTCTTGCGCACGCACGATCGCTGTCCGCCATGCACCCTGCGGCAGTGGTCAACATTCCTGGTGACTCGAACCTGCGGGAGGGTATTGACTTTCACCACCTGTCCGGTTTTCTTGCATGCCCACGCGGCTCGAGAAATGCCACATAGCTTATATTGCATCCATGTGCTATGCGTGGTATGATAGGATTTCCTATGTATATTCTATGCGTCACGTCACTTCGTTATTATCACGCACCACAAATATACAACCAGGAGCGTATAATGACAAATACTTATTTGTCATTATACGCTCCTGATACAATGTGGCTCTATAAATAAGGAAACCCCGAAGAAAGAATCCGCGGCATTAAAGTTCGCGCTTTCTCGTTTCGCTCGTGCTAAGAGTGTGCCTGTAATTATGCATGTTATTAACTACATCAGAAACAATTGCGAAGCAGGCGGTCATGATGCCCGCTGCGGAATTTTGCTAAGCCCTGTAGAACCTTTAAGAACAAAATCTCCAATCACCAAATCCATCATCACATCACATCATAGCTGTTTACAGGTGCAACGCAGGATGACGGCTGTGCGTGTG